TGTGGCAACAAGCATAAATTTCCCTCTCAGAACTGAATCCCAGCATCTCATAATTTTTGTGGTTATTGTAGAACTATTTCTCCTCTCAATTCTGTGAAAGTTTGCTTTATGTATTTTGGAGTTCTGATGTGTGGTGCATATATTTCTGTAACTGTCATGTCTTCTTGTTGAATTGACTTATCAATACATATGGTGTTCTTGCCCTGGCTGGTGTAGCTCAGTGGATTGAGCGTGGGCCTGTGAACCAAAGGATCATGGTTCAATTCCTAGTCAGGGCACATGCTTCGGTTGCAGGCCAGTTCCCAGCAGGGAACGCATGAGAGACAACCATACATTGATATTTCTCTCCCTCTTTCCTTCCCTTCCCCTCTAAAGATAAGTAAATAAAATCTTAAAAAAATATGTATATATGGTGTTCTTGATTCTTGTAAAAACAAGAAAGTCTATTTGATTTAAAGTCTATTTCTTTTTTCCCCCTTTTTTCCTTTTTTTAAATTTTATTTTAATCATTGTTCAAGTACAGTTTTCTCCCTTTTACTCCCAATCCAGCCCCCCCAACCCTCCCCACTAAAGTCTATTTCATCTCATATTAATAGAGCCACTTCAGCTCTCTTCTGATTACTGTCTGTATGGAATACATTTTTCCACCCTTTCCCATTGAATTTGTGTCCTTAATTATAAAGTAAATCTCTTGTAGGTAGCAGACAGATGGATCTTCTTTTATTTGTATCCATTCTGCCAGTCTTATATAGGAGTTTAATTCATTTACATTTAATGTAATTATAGTGAAAGAAAGACCTGCTTCTGACATTTTGTTACTTCTTTTGTTTTTGTTTTTATTTATGTGTGTCCTACAGCTTTTCGTTCCTTCATTTCTCCCATCTTTATCTTCTTTTTTATGTAGTTGATGTTTTTGTAGTAACCTGTTTTGATTTCCTTTTCATTTCCTTTGTGTATTTCCATTTTGGTGACCGTAGAGATTATGTGTAACATGCTAAAATTATAATAATCTAATTTGAATGGATATCAGCTTTACTTTAAGAATACGTAAAATCTCTACATCTCTACTTAATTTGCTTTGCACACACATTATTGATGTTAAATTGCCTTTTGTACATTGCCTACCTATTAACCTAGATTTATAGTTGCTCTTATGCACTTGTCTTTTAAATCATGTAGACCATAAAAAAGGGGGAGTTACACACACACACACACACACACACACACACTCACAGAATAATGGTGGTTCTGCTTACTTTTACTGGAGATCTTTATATCTTCATACACCTTCAAGTGACTCTCGGACACTCTTTCATTTCAACCTAATAGACTTCCTTTATCTATTCTTGAGGGACAGGTCTAGTTGAAATAAAGTCCCTCGGATCTTGTTAATCTGAGAAGTGACTAATTACTCCTCATTTTTGAAGGTAGTTTTGCCAGACAGAGAATTCTCTCAACAGTTTTTGTCCTCCATTCTACTGCCTCTGACCTCCAAGCTTTCTGATGAAAAAGTGGCTGCTGATCTTGGTGGAGGCTCCCTTATAAGTGATCAGTTGCTTCCCTCTTGATGATTTCAAAATTCTCTCTGCATCTGTAGCTTTTGTAGTTTGATGGTATGTGTCTTAGTGTGGGTCTCTTTTGTTTTATCCCTCTTGGAGTTCATGGAGCTTCGTGGATTTGTAGATTCATGTTTTACATAACTTCGAGAAGTTTTCCATGATTATTTCTTCAAATACTCTCTCTGCCCCTCTCTGATGCTCCTCCCTTAGGACTCCCATTATACATATTTTGGCACACTTGGTTTCCCAGGTGTCTCTTTGGCTCCATTTGATTTTCTTCGATCTTTATTCTTTCTTTTCCTCAGACTTGATCATTTTAAATTGGCCTACACTTAAATTTGTTGATTTTTTTCTCCTACCTGCTTATAAACCCCTCTAGTAATTCTTCAATTGTATTTTCAGTTTCAAAATTTGTTTGGCTCTTTTTTATAATTTCTATCTCTTTGCTTATTTTATTTTGTTATTGACATACTTCCAAATTTCTTCTGGTTCTTTGTCCAGGTTTTGCCTCAGCTCTTGGAGCATAGATAAGGCATACCTAGGTTGTGGGTTCAATCCCCAGTCAGGGCGCACATGGGAGGCAACCAATGGATGTTTCTCTCTCTCTCTCCTCCCCTTCCTCTCTCTCTAAAATCAATAAAAGATATATATCCTCCGGTGAGGATAAAAAAAATTATCAATATTTTGACACACTCATGTACTATTGGTCCAAAAATTCAAATTACTTCAAGTTCAAATTCCTCTTGATAGCTCTGTGTGTGTGTGTGTGTTTTAAGATTTTTAAAATTTATTTATTTTTAGAGAGGGAAGGGAGGGAGAAAGAGAGAGAGAAACATTGATGTGCGGTTGCTGGGGGCCATGGCCTGCAACCCAGGTATGTGCCCTAACTGGGAATCAAACCTGCGATACTTTGGTTTGCAGCCTGCGCTCAATCCACTGAGCTATGCCAGCCAGGGCAACTCTGTGCATTCTTTGAGTCAAAAGACAGAGATCCCTGGCTGAGCTGATTTTGAAGGGAAGCAGCTGGGAGAGCAGCTGCTGAGCATGTGTGGCGTGTGGTGGCCTGGTGTTTAGAAATTGTCTCCTGACAGCTTGTGCAGGTCCACAGAGATCTGAAGGCTTGCTTCAAAAATATGAGGTTCTAAATAAATGGAAGGAGTATATTGAGATGACATTTGAATGAAAATAGCAACTTATTTAGGATTCCGTCTACTGATTTCAGAGACTTCTTGAGATGTATAATGGATGCAAATTGACGAGAGAAAATTTTTTTTAGGTTATTGTATGAAGTCTGTTATTGAAAATTTCCCATAGCTTATTATTTTATGACGATCTAATGTTTATCTATAAATGTGCAGACAGAATATTAGGTGAAGATATGGTTTTATTATATATATATATATTTTTTTATTCTTGCATGCTTTAATGTGTCAAATCTTCAACACTTTCCAACGGTGTTTGAAGATTTAACACAGTTCTGTCATTCATGCTATGCCATTCTGTCTGCTATGATGGAAATGTTTATGGACCCCAAATTCATTAAGTGGAAATCCTAGTCCCCCCAAAAGTGGGGGTATGAGGAGGTGGGGACTTAGGTCCCGAGGGCCGGAGCCCTCAGAAATGGTGTTAGTGTCCTTGTCATAGCATCCCCACAGGCTCCCTGTCCCTTCCACTGTGGGAGCCCAGTGAGCAGGTGCCTGCCATGAACTGGGAGGCTGGTCCTCACCTGACATTGAACCTGCCGGCTCCCTGACCTTGAATGTTCTCCTTCCAGAACCTTGAGAATAAACACCTGGGGTTTATAATCCACTCCATCTGTGCATTTTGTTACAGCAGCCAAAATGGGCTAAGACACTAGTCTAACAGGGTTAAAGCTCTCTGATTTTAAGAGAAACATACTAACGTATTCTGCCTCTGGTAAGAAAATAAGGAACACCAACATCAACCTGGAGAGATCCCAAATAGAAAGTTTTGTTCAAAAGCCAAGTGAGCCTAGCCTAAGTTTTTACTGGTATTTGCTTCCTTACACACACACAGGTGTGCGCACACACTCCTGCTATCCAGTGTTTTGGGGGCGGAGGCAGGTGAACGAAGGACTCAATTTCCAGCTCATTTTATGCTCATGTGGTTTCTGAAGCATCTTTTGTACAACTGATGTCTTGTCAGAACCTCCATCTCTCATTTTTGGGCAAAAATGCACAATGTTGCAAAGGTCTCTGGGAAACATCGATCTAGCTTCTCTTCACAGTGCCGCCTGGGCTTGGTCGACACATGCCACTTCTATTCTCACAGTTCCAAACATTCCTCGCACTGCGAAAATGTTGGCTCTTGGTCTGTGTATTGCAGTTTTGAGAAAACTCCTAACACTTTGTACTCAAGGGGACGCTCAGTAATTCCCTTTGCTCATCCTGAAGCACTGAGAGAGGTGTGGATTTAAATAAACACAGTCACGCCTCGGTCCTCGTTGGCTTCAGACCCTGCACTTGCTGCATTTCGACAAGAAAGATAATGTTTCACCTCGTCGGTTTCGGCAGGTGACCCCAGTTCCGGGGTGGACTAACAACGAATATTGAGGTACCACTGTATTTACTAGAATTTCACTTAGATCCTGTGGAGTCCTAGCTAAAGGGCTAAGGACTCACAACATTTTGAGACAAATCTTGAATCTCTGCGCCAGCCCTTGAAGACCTCAAGAACCCTTTCAGGCCAGGAGATCAAGAAAGACACACACACACACACACACACACACACACACAATGACTCTAGAACAGAACACAACACAAACCAGCTCAGAGTCAAGGCAAGAAACAGCAGCGTTTTAAGGGCACCGTTTAGCAAAGGGCGACGATATTCCCAGCAATGAACCCACCCTGCCCAATGAGAGCATCCTGGGAATGCCTAGCCGTTTCCATGGTAACCGGGGGCCGCCAGGATCTCCCCGGGGTTCCAGTGATTTCATCAGGAGACCTGGTGAGAGAGGACTCTCACCCGAGAGCCTTGAGGTTCGTCACTCCCATAAATACTGGCGGCCTCGCCTTATAGAACTTCACGGAGACCCTACATCAGCATAACGAAACTTTCTTTTTTCCAACTCTGCACACGGCTTTGAGAAAATGTTAGTGAAAGCTTTTGCACTGTCAGGATAATATTAATTACAGGCCGTTGCAGCTATAATATGGGAAATCCACCCTGAGGGAATCAGGGTTCTCAGATATTGTGACCCAATTAGATCAAATAAGCCCAGGCAGGCTGTCCTCTCGCTTGTGACTATTAATAGCAGCAGAAAGGCCCCAAATCCTGTAAGATTTCTTTCCTGGCAAAGCTCAGAGCGTTTCGTGGATGTCTGCTAATGAAGCCAAGGATGTGGCCTCACCCACTATGACCGCTGCAAGGGAGAAGTTCAAGGCCAGTGCACCACACAGCCCCCAGAGGCGGACAGACCTGAGCCCGTACAACACCGTCCCGTCGGGGTGAAGCCGGATCATGCGGTTCTTCACCGTCACTCCGTGCACGAACGACTTTTTGTCATTTAGGAAATAGGTGTCCGGCACCCACAGCTGGTCGGCCACGCGGTTGTCCAGCGTGAGGTTGAGAGGGATCCCAGAGTAGGCGAGCCTTTTATCTCTCCAGTACTGTTGGAAATACATGGTCAAGGTGTAATCCTGGACAGGGGGAAAGAAAAGAAATTAGTTTCAGCGTTCAGCCAAATCAGCATTTCATAAAAACCACACAGGGCCCTGGCCGGTGGGGCTCCATGGGTTGGGCGTCATCCCGTCAACTGAAAGGTGGTGGGTTTGAGTCCTGCTCAGGGCACATGCCTGGGCTGCGGTTCAGTCCCAGATGGGGTGCCTGCCAGAAGCACCCAATCAATGTTTCTCTCCTCTTCTATTTCCCTCCCTTCCTCTCTCTCTAAAATCAGTGAATGTATTTAAAACACACACACACACACACACACACACACACACACACACACACAGAAAAAAAGCCCCCCTCCCCTTAAAAGACATTTTAACATCAGGTTGTTGGCAGAGAACTTGACTTGTTTCCCCCAGCAAGGGATCCCTAGGTCCCCATCTCCTGCCACCAGGACACAGGAGCTCGACCTCCCGACTGTCTCTCTCCTGTGCAAGTTCCTTTCCTCCCCTGCCCTCCGCGGGGGCGGCAAATACCAGACCCCCCCGCAACATGCACTGCAGACACGTGACCTGAACCCCTCGTCCATCACATCTGATTCTTCCAGACAGCCAAGGACACTTTCCTGTCACACTCTGGGCCATGGCACCAAAGTGAGACGTGACATGTCCCTTTGGGGCATGTCCCAAAGGGGGAGCCTGAAGCTGAATCTGGGTGTGGGATGGGGACATGGGTCTCTCTCAGCCCTGAAAGGCTTGCAACGACCTCAGTAAATATCTGAGCAGGGGACCCAACTTTAATTTTCTGTTTTTTTTCAAAGTAGCTAGTGCAATAAGAAAGTGGGAAAAAAGACAGGGGCTGAGCATGGACATTCTATTTTTAAAGTTTTACCCCTTTGGGAAATGACTATGTGTAAGTCTAGAATAATCAAGTCTGAAAATCTGGTAATATTCATGGGGTATCCTGAACCCCATGGTGGAGAGACGCAAACTGAAAATTCAGCAGTGAGAGGCTAAAAACTTCTTTTTGTTTTTTAAGCTTCCAAATGTTTTTTTCTTTAAATCATTTTGACTTCTGAGAGAGAGAGGAAAGGAGAGGGAGGGAAAGAAACATCAATTTGTTCTACCCATCCATCCACGCACTGATTGGTTGATCCTTATATGTGCCTTGACCGGGGATCGAACCCACAACCTTGGTGCGTCCGGATGATGCCCCAACCCACAGAGCTACCTGGCCAGGGCTTCTAAATGTTTTTTATGAACCAAGTATAACATTAATATTTAAACCAGGTGAAGTAGCACAAATTATTTATAATTACATTGGTGGAAAATGTTATTTAATTCCAGTACTACTTAACCACATTGATGCAAACATGTTCTCAAAATGTTACCTTACAGAACTATTTGTGCCTGTACAAATAACACCCCTTTTCATTACCAGACCTTTTATTACAAAACCATAAGCATGTCATTCTGTAACATAACAACATCATCACACTCAAGCCCCCCATAGGACATTTTAGGTGAGATGTTCGAATTAAAACCATAGATTATGACACTCATGTTATGACCCCACCAGCCACGCTCAAGCAGGCATTCTTCTGCCGGACCCCGTAGAATGAAACTATGCATACATTTACGTTTGACTCAGTAATCCCACTCTTTAAGAAAGTTACCCTGAAGACACACCCACCACGATCTGACGGTACAGAAACGCCCCCAACAGATGGAATGACCAAGCTGTCGCACACCCGCGCCATGGAGCACTACGCGGCTGTGACGCAGGAGTACGATCTTTGTGATCTCATTGCGGCTGCTTCCCGGGATGTATTGTTAAGTGAAAAAAGCCAAGTTCAAAAGCACGCACGCGTAGATACAGTTTCCTCTGTGTAAGAAAAGGGAAATAACAAAGTATACGTGTAACTGTGCGGCAGGTGCACACACTTGCCCACCGCGCCTGTCTGCAAACGCCCTCGCTCTGTGGGCGGCGAGAGGCCGGCGGGCGGGTCAGTGGGGGGAAGCCGTCTCCCCGACGCAGGCCTGCGGGCACCCCACCCACCATCCCCGCGCGGCCTCACAGCCAGCCCTGGGCGCTGGCCAGCCCCACGGTGCCCGTTCATTCCTGATCCCCGGAGTGTTGGGGGAGTGAGTGAAGCTGGTTGGAGAAAGGCCAGCACCGTAGGATTGCACTCACATGTGGAATCTAATGAGCAAGCTGAACTCACAGGCAAGAGAGAGACAGACCCACAGATGGAGAGATGACAGCTCTGGGGGAGGACTGGGGGCGGAGGGACCGAGCAAAAATTCGAAGAGGACTCATGGACACGGACAACAGTGTGGTGATTGTGGAGGGGGGAAGGGGGGTGGGTTGAGGTGGAGGAGGGTGTAGATGGGGTAAATGGTAAAAGAAAAACATGCAATACAAATGATCTATTAAAAAAAAAGAAAAAAGCGTGTGGGAACAGACATGTCGGACGTGACCAAGAGCACACCGGGGCGGCGGCGACGAAACCAGGACGTCCCCCACAACCGGAGACAAAACACGTTTGAAGCTGTAAGGCTCGTAAAAGTCAGAAAAGAGGGGGAAGCCAGAAAATGCAAGTCTTTAGACGGGTTCCAGTGGATGAGAAGACACAGGGGACTTTGCCCCACACGCTTACCTGAGCCCACATCACCTGTGCGTGCCCCTCCCCCTACCTCCAGGAGCAAAGGTTCCTGCAGAGCAGATTGGCCTTGCTGAGCTAGGTGCCAGGTGGGGGCACAGACGTTCACGTGACAACGCCGCTCTCTGCGGGAAACCCTGAGCCGTGCAGTGTCCTCCAAACTTTGGGAAGGAGAGGGAAAGGGGACAGAGCGGTGGGCAGGGCTGGGCCCCATAGTGGTGACCAGAAGGGAACAGACTTGAATGCCAGCTCCCGCCACGGAAGGTTTCTGAGTAGCGAGCGGCTCGGGCACCTGTACTAACCACGGCTTTTATTTCGTTCTGTTCCGTCTCAGCATCTGAGCACCGCCTTGGCTGACTCTGCAGGGACGGCCCGCCCTCCGTCCCAGGGTAGCTGCTTCCTGGACACTGTCAACCACTCGGTTGTGCTTTTCTCTTTTTTTCTAAGATTTTATTTATTTGTTTTTAGAGAGGTGAGGGAGAAAGAGAGAGAAAGAGAAACATCAATGTGCGGTTGCTGGGGGCCGTGGCCTGCAACCCAGGCATGTGCCCTGCCTGGGAATCGAACCTGTGATGCTTTGGTTTGCAGCCTGAGCTCAATCCACTGAGTTATGCCAGCCAGGCTCAGTTGTGCTTTTCAATTGCAAACTGACCCATCCCCAGCTCACTCGCCTCAACTGGTTTCTTTACTGGGTTCTCACACCCCAGGCTGGCCAGTCCCCCCATGTCCAGGCACCAGGCCACTAGGGACTGTCTAGGCCCCGGGGTCTGTGTTATTCAAACCAGCACATCCTGACCCTCCTTGCCCAGCCTTGCCAGCTCCTTCCCGAGGAAACCCGGGTGAAGGCCACTCTCTGCCTAGAGCCCAGCCCTGGTCCTTCCCCATCTGGCTCCCGCTGCTTTGGCGGGTCCCCTTCTCTTGGGATCTGCGGGCACCAAACTCTTTTCAATGGCACCCGTCTCCTGCTCTGTTGGCCTCGACCCACATGAGAGCAAAAACCCACATTGTAACCCCAAAGCCGTGGATGAGGAAGATCAGTTTGGCAATGGCAAGGAGTTCAGCAGTAAGACGGATGGATGGCGAGCAGAGGCCAGAGTGAAGGGGAGGAGGGGCTCCCTGGGGGTCATAAGGGAGGACAGGGGAGCCCTGACTGTTGTGGAACCCCAGGAAGGCAATCGATGCACTTTAACCCAAACATGCAAAGTTGTTAGGGTGGCAGAATGCTGGCCATAAAGCCGCGGTGGCCCTTGAAAGAGCATCAACGTGAGTACAACCCTCCAGACCACATTCCCGGTGAAAGAGAAGAGTTTCATCAGCTCCTTCGGTTGGTTTCAGGAGTCCTGAAGTCTCCTCTCTTCTCCCATCCCCCTTCCCACTGGTGTGCACATGGGTGGCCAGGGGAACGGAGGGACCCCCTCGCTCTGCCCCGGAAACCCCGTTGTCTCTCACAGTCTGAAATCCCGGTGGGGTCTTGTTTCTGCACTGTGCAGTGGTGCTCACCTTTGTCCGCATCACCTGTCTGATCTTGGGGGTTTGCTGAGCTGACCTGAGTAGGTTTGAGGGGGGGCTGCTTAGGAAACAGAGGGAGAGAGCAGGCAGCATTTCAGTGGCACCTGCTGCCTCAGCTGTGCCTCCTACGGCAATGGCATCAGTGCGTCAGCGGGGACACCAGCCAGCACCCCACTTCTTTCTTCTGCAGAGGCTGGTGGGGGGAGGGAAGGTGATCCAGCCCCCTCTGTCCTCCCGGGCACCTGGGAGACAGCGAATGGATGATTTAAGTCTTTGGGGAGCCCTGCTGCTGACTCTGGGGATGTGTGGTGGTGTGCGTGAGTGCCGTGCCCAATGTCCACCGCCCCAAAGTGACCACTGCCACGTGCAATGATGGCCACCACACACAGGGACCACCACCACGGGCAGCCGCCACCGCAGCAGTTCACAGGTTCTATGCCCCAGCACCAGCTCGCCCTCAGGCTGGCATCATCTCATTTAACTACAAGGAGCAACCGCTAGGATTATCAACTCGATTCTCGCTCAATGAAGAAAAAGTAGTTCAGAGAGCTCCAGTGGCTCCCCTTCTCCCTCCCACGCCCCATTAAATACAAGAAACTGGGGAGAACGGGACTCAAACCCAGCACTGCCTCCCGCTAGAACATCGTTGGTGCTCCCGGGATCCGGAGCTGAGCGGTTCTACAGAACAGAACAAAATGCACTGGGCTGGGGCGGTTTGCAAAGATGGCTGGAGAATGGACACTGAGGTCATATACGGTGACGTCATTTCTGATCGGGAGCAGTGAGAACCCTGAAACCCCCAACACCTCCACCATTAAAAGGACTTTTTGTGGCCTCCATGCAGACAGATACCTCGTC